GCTTTATTCTCAGAATACAAGCGAAAAACTATTCCATTATAGTATTCTAAACTAAACCTATCGAAGAACACAAAATCAATTTTGTACGAATAAACATTCGCACATGTAAACTTAGCTTTGCAGTTAACTGCAAAACTTTTTTAAAGTGCCATTGGTAGGCCCCCATGGACGTAACTGGTTTCTAAGGTGCTATCCATGGACGCTCATAGACGCAACTGTCCGTCCATGGACGCCCACGGACGCAACTGTTCCGTCCATGGGCGCCCATGGACGCGAAATTCGTGTCCACAACAGTCCCTGGTATCTTACTCTAGAATAGCTCTTTTCCTCCTCCATTACTTTTTCAGATTTCGTACTGAATGGTGCAATAATAGGAATGCTAAATGTGTGTTCTGTTAATTGTTTGCGCGTTCAAAACGATTTAAAGATACATTCAACATGCGCCTTATTGCACCATTCAGTACGAAATCTGGAAAAGTAATAGAGGAGGAAAAGAGCTATTCTAGAGTAAGATACTATCGAGTAAGCTAACAGTAAAGCTAATAAAGTTTCAGGATTAATGTGAGAAAGCTGGAAACCCAGAAACCTAAGAAACATATGAGGATAGCAAAATGAGCGAAAGCTGAAAATTCTGTTTTCCATTTTTCTATAAAAGTAAATTCTTCAATCTATGTCCATGCTGATAGTCTATATTGTTTTTGAATTATTACCTGAATTAGTTTTGCTAGTCGTAACAGATGACCTAGAAGGTGCAGTTGTAGAGTAGCCCTAATCTCGCACAAGTATTACTCATACTGTCTAATTGTATCAAAAGTTCTCTTCTGAAGAGCAACTATGCTCAAAAGTACCTAGGTCATACCAAAAGTACTGAGATTTGCAGATAGAACTCCACAGAATAGAGTTAATTAAGTTTTCACTTCAGCAACTATTTGAGCTAGTAGCCATAGTTGCCAACGCACAATCAATTTGTTTCAAGACATTTGCTGACAATTTTCTTCGAATCATTTTTGAAAATTCATGATTAGTAACTGCTTACTCTTAAAAAAAGAGATAAATATGGAAAGAGAACAGACTTCTAATCACCAATATTATTTCAATAATTGAATGAAACTGCTTATCAACGGAATGAGAAAGGAAAGATCATCACCTAGTTCTCAGGATATCAAAGGTCATTACGACAACCTCTAGTCATATATTTGTAAAGATGTGTTTACCATCTCACACCAGAACGTATCATCATTATTTCATACCCACTTTATTCTACCGATTCTACGTAGTTTTCAGATGCCCTGTCTAATTGATAAACTTCATCGATCAAAACAGTTCCTAATCATGAATTTCTTAATCAAAAATGATTCGAAGAAAACCTTCAACAGATGTCTTGAAACAAATTGATTGTGCGTTGGTAATTATGACTGATAGCTCAAATAGCTGCTGAAGTAAACATTTAATTAAGTCTATTCTGTAGAGTTCTATCTGCGAATCTCAGTACTTCTGGTATGACCGAAGTAGCAAACTAGGACCTCAAAGACCTATGATGACGGGAAAAGGTGAGAAAGCTGGGAACCTTTCGTGGGAAAAAGAAATTCTGCATGACATCACTATCGAAAGAAGTATGGAGTGCGATCAACATCCGCAAGTGCTTAAACCTTCGTTATCTATTTTCATCAACGAAGGCCTTTTTCAGAAATCTGGCATAGAAAACATGTTCACTCTTTTCTCTAAGATACTAAGCAAATTTTCTAGCGCATTGGTTGACCGCTTATATACCCATTGTTTGATTCAGATAGAAAAGATATGAAAATAGTTCAGCTACCTAACCGATTTCAATGGAATTTTAACTTACAATTTCAGCATACTCCGCCGTTGGCCAAGTCGAGCCCGAATCGATGTTTGTACCATGTGCAGCATTACCAATTACTTCATCAACATGTCTTTCCATTTCTTTTTTCTTCTCCACTTGGTGCATCGCATTCCAGTCGGCTAGGCCGCCCTTAGCAGTTCCAATATCGTCTTCCACTCGACCCATCGCTTTCGAAACCGCGTCAAGCTACAATAAATCCACACCATTAATGTGAGAAACATTCATCCGATACCTTCGAACTTACCAGATCTTTCTTGCTAGCCATATCTTTCCGTGTATAATGATAATCAATCGAACCAGATGTGAGTGAGCAACGAATGAGTTAACAATACTCTTCTTTTCGAACAAAAAGCTTTTGCTAGTAACCTCTGCAGTCAGCGGCGTAACCAGGATTTTTAGTCCAATGGGCAAACTTCTATTGTATCGGAAAAAAACGATGGGCAAAATGGGCAAGGTTTTTGTCGATGGGCCAAAAGATTTTTGGTCCAAAAAGAACACA